TATTGTACAGTACACGTAGTCCTCAACTTACCATTTGTTTAGTGACCGTTTCAAGTTACAATGGCACTGGAAAAAAATGACTTAGAACTGATTCTCACATGACCGTCACAGCATGATCAAAATTTGGGCACTTGGCAATTGGTATGCATTTACAATGGTTGTAGTGTCCCAGGTTCACGTAATCACCATTTGCCCTTCACAGTCAGTTTCCTACAAGGGATTAATAGACAAGGCAGGATTTGCTTAACCACCATGTAATTCATTGAACAACTGCAGTTATTTGTTTAACAATTGTTGCAAAAAAGGTCATAAAATCAGCTGTGACTCACTTAATTGCCTTACTTAGCAATGGAAATTCTGATCCCAGTTGTGATTATAAGCCAAAGTCTACTTGTATATATATCCTGCAATGCACTATAAGATTATGGTATGTGCTGAATAAGTAAATAAGAATGCATTGGATTTCCTTAAGCATTTTAATTGCACATCAAAACCTTTCAAGAGTGAGTAAGATTATATAGATGTTTTTCTTTAAATGCCTGAAGGAAATAAGTCATTAGGATTAATGAAATAAGACTGCATAGTACTATTTCCTTAATGAAATAAAACTTCCATTTCATTAAATAAAAATTAAGCCCTAGTTATAATTAAATAGAAAACTACCACATAGCTACAAATTAGCCCCACTGATCTAATTTAAGTTTGCTTTTGATTAGTCAGGCCTGTAGTCATCCAATCTTGTTCTCCCAATGTGATATAAAAACTCTATTATTGATTGCTTTTTTAATAGACTTTTCCAACTTTTCAAGGAAAATTTTTAAAAGGAAGGAAAAAAGGTATCCCTGTTCAGTTGCACATTGATATTAGTTACTTTTTAATATATGTTTGCCATTTATAACAGTTAGAACAATTAATCAGTGGAACAACCTGCCTCCAGAAGCTGTGAATGCTCCACACCATTGGAAGTTTTTAAGAAAAGACTGGACAGCCATTTGTCTGAAATGGTATAGGTTTTCCTGCCTGAGCAGGAGGTTGGACTAGATGACTTCCAAGGTCTCTTCCAACATTATTATTAATGTTGTTGTTGTTGTTGTTGTTTTGCTGTGAATAATAATTTATATATAAATAATATGTACTTAATGGTACTTAATAAAAATGTTATAGATACTGCTTAAAAAGGAATACCAATAGTACGAATTCCTAAAAAAGAATTAAACATTTTTACATCAGGAGAGAAATGTGTTGCTAATTCTGACAGTATGTTTCTTTTGAAATAACTGACAGAATGCTTGTCCTATCTCTCTTGAGCTACTACTAAAATTATTATTTGCATCAGGTTACCATTGTTACATAACTGGATTTGTAAGGACTTTTTTTTCCAGTTTTTCTTTTCTAGACTTTCTAAGGTATCAGTATTCACTTCTTTTGGTTTGCTTGTTTTGACAAACAAACAGATTTCCAAAAGGTATTAACAGGCAAGAAGTAGTTTGAGTTTCTTGTTACTAAGGTAAATCAGACTCAGAACAAGTTGATTTACATGATACCTAAGTCAGAATCTCTCTTTTATCAGAAAAAAGTGTTAACAACAATACACAGTTAAGTGCCCTTTCATGACTCCCCCTACCCAGTAAGCTAAAGCAGTCACTTTCCTCTGCTTGATGATGTGTTTTATTTGTGGAGGAAGAAGTAGGATATTTATGCCACTATATTTCCTATAATTGATATACATTCCTATAATTAATCTGTTAATCTGTTAATATTTGTAACTAACACAATGTATATCAAATGGGATCAATCACAAATGGCTTCAGAATCATGTTTGGCAAGATAGATAGAAATATGAATAGGATTTTTAAGGGTTAAATATTGATCAGTATTATGGTTACTGTCTTATGTATGCTTACTGCAAAGTAAAGTTCAGTTAAAATACTCAGATTCATTTCTAAGTATAGATGCAGGGAATATGGCAGCCAGATGTGACTGCTGGTATATTTAGTAAGTTGTTTTGCAATGAAATGTGAATAGATTTATTCAACTGAAATTCAAAAGTTTGTAAACAAAGAGCTTTTATTTGTGAAATAACATGGCAGGTTACTTTCTGCACAGTCTGAAAAAGATATCTGGTATTCATTTCTTCAGTTTAATGTAGCTGTATAAAATAACCTATTGGGAGCAGCGCATAAAGAAATGAAAGGGCTATTTCAGGTTACTGGTTTACTGCTTTGTCTAGTACAACAGGTAAGGTATCCAAAACATTTTTTGCAAGTAACTTATTTACATTTTGTAGGAATCAAATGGTCATATTGTAAGTTAATTGACTACAATAATATCCCTGCATATATTTCTGACTCATGAGTTTATTATACTTTTATTATAGTTTATTATACATTATACTTTTTATAAAGTATAAGTATACTTTTTAAAAAGTATTATATTACTTTTAATAAAATTTGATGGTAGTTGATTCTGAAAACAGTTTCTTTTTATGTTCCAGTTGCTGTATCTTTGAAGAATCAAAAGGTTGCCATTCCGCAATTTCTAGATTCTGATTCTGTGTCTCTGGCAAATTCTATTCAAGTCCCAGAACTTAATCAGTTCACCCTATGCTTTGAAGCAAGAGCAAACAACAGTAATAACTATGAATGGAAGGCTTTCTCCTATGGTGATTCCTCTATGGAATTCTTCAGCTTTGGAAAAACAAAACAGGGGTATTTCATTTTTATCTCAGACTCAAAGTGTTTTTTAAATGATGCACTTGACATTAGTCCAAATGAGGACATTTTCACAGAAACATTTGAAGAGCTTTGCATTGTATGGGATAGCTCATTAGGCATAGTAGGTGTAAATATCAAAGAGATGTATAAAACAGTCTCTTGTTTAGATACTTACGGAAAAGTAATTCCTGGTAATGGAAAGTTGGTTCTGAGTTCTGACAAAGAAGACATAAGCCCTTTGCCTGGAGATATGTACAACTTCCGGCTTTGGAATTTTACAATGAATTCCCAATCACTTTTCAACCTCACCTGTGATGAGAAAGGTAACATTATTGACTGGGAAAATGATTTCTGGAGCATTCCAGCAACATTTCTAAAAGCGGAGAACAACTTGAGTTGTGGTGAGTTTCTTTTTTTAAATTTGGTATAGCTGTTAAGATGATTTAGGTCAGAAAGAAAATTTGTTTATAGTGAAAATGAATTAACATCCCCATATTCATTTTCTTGAACTTGTTTTACTATAAGATTCATGTGCCACAGTAAATATATTATTCTATAGGTCACTTTTATGAATTCAGTACCTTAGTAATGGGTTTATTTATTTATTCAATTTATATCCCATTGTTTTGTTTAGGAGCTTAAGGTGTTACACAAAATATTCCTTTCTCTTATTTTTCCCCACAATAACAACTTGATCAAGTAGCTGGACCGAGAAACAGTGATTGGCTGAAAGTCACTCAGTGAGTTTCCATGGCTGACCCTTAAAATCAGGATCTCTCCAGCACCAGTTCAACCAGTACAGCACAAACTGATTTCAAGAGTTTTTATTAATAGATTTTATAATGATGCAATTTTAACAATTGTCAAATTGTTACATTTTATTGTTTATTGAATTATATTACAATCAATGACAAAAACTACAGCATTAAGTGTTATATTATGCTTCTCTTTACACTCATGACCTTAACTAAATTTATTCATTTATTTGTATACTACCCATTCAAAAATAAGTTATGAAAATAGAAACAAAGTTTATCAACAAGTCTTCATTTTTCTAACCAGAGTCTTGCTAGTAGTCAGACTGTACATCTTATGAAAAAGTCCACAGAAGAGAGAATAAAATCACCATTTCCTCAACTTATTTCATAAAATAAGTTTAAAATATATTTTAAACAGTTTTCTTCCAACTTTGCTTAGAGACTAGCATAGAGCTGTATGGAGTAAAGTCTAGAATGCAGAAATATGGTATTTTCAGACTGAAAATAAAGTTGTTCCATGCCTATTTTGATTATCACTATACCTACTCCAATTCCAAGCTGGATAAAAAGGCTAAGCCTTGACCTGTATATTTGAAGGATCCTAAAAATCTCTATATGCAAAAATATTCTTCTATATTCATTTTAAGCTTGGAGCTTATTACATTGGAGTCTTTAGAGGGCAGAGGGGCACTCGCCATTAGAGGAATGTTTCACCGTTTGAGGAATGTTTTTGAACATGGCATTTTGCAGAGGCGTATCAAAAGAGGCAAGATGGCAGGCCCAGCAGGGTAAGCACAGCCCTTTCCTTTTGAACGTGCTTGCAGCATACATGGGAAAGGGACAGAAGTTTAGTTGCTTTGATCTACTTGCCATTTTGCCTCTAGTAACCTGTAATTGCCATGGACAAATAGCAAAATAATAGTTAACAATTTTAAGGAAATAAATGTCTTTGTATTATATACTGCTCACAAAAATAAAGGGAACGCAAACCCCTTCAGTTCCATGGTAAAATGTTCCCTTTATTTTTTTTAGCAGTATATACAGTATTTGATCCTTAATCTTATACGATTATTGTGATTGTAAAATTGGAGGGATTCTGACAGTAGGGCAGCGTATACATGCACCAACTGAAGATCAAGATGAAGTTGATGATACTTTTATAACAAGATGAACATGTTATTTCTTTGTTGAAATTCTCTTTTAAGGGAAACTAATTATATCAAAACATTCTTGTTCCCATCTACTTAATTTCTGTACATCCTTGATTTTTATTAAGGGTATATGCTGATCACATACCAATGGGTATGATTAGGTTCAAACTGTGATTCAGTGATTTGAACAACACTCCAGTTAATCACACATTCTGTTTCAAAAGTTACATAATTCAAGTATCACATAAATCAACACCACAGTTCCAGAATGCTTATGATTATGCCTTTCCTCTGATTGTCACAGGCAACCAAAAAAGATTGGAAGTTTTTTTAAAAAATCAGAAGAATCAGATAGATAGAATAGCCCCCACTAAGAGGATTAAGTACGGTACACTCTTCTGCAAATTGAGCTTAGTTCCTGGGCTCAGTGAATAGGAGTGACCTGTCATCCAATTTCTAGCTTAGTTTTTCAAGATTAGTTATGGTCAGCTAGACACTGCCACCCCATTGAGCCAAGGATATGGGTCATGTGCCAAAGTTTTAGATGGGGTAACTTTTCAATCAAGAAGTTTTCAAAAGTGGGGGTGCTTCTTCTTTTGCAGGTGAAAAGAAATGGGCTTTGTAAAGTTCCTTCACACTTGATTAGGTTTGAATAAAAAGGAATTTGCTTTCTCCTTCAGCTATTTTAGTGAGTAATTTGTATCTTTATGCTGTAGAGATGCCCCTAAGCAGAAAATCTTTAAAAATTTCAAAAGGGCAAGGAAATTACAGTATAAGGAGTACATATAACTTTAAAGTTTTATTTCTTTAGATTTCTACTTTTAACAGAACTCACTCACAGAAGCCTTCAAGTATTTCATGGCTCATGGTTCATAGCAGGTGATAGAGTCTTTTGAGATTAACCATTTTATTTAAGGCATAACATTTTGTGGGTTGCAGTTAATTTCATCAGGTGCATGAAGCAGCTTGGCTTATGGCTGATGAGGCAGAAGGGAAAAGGGAAGGGGAAGGTAGGAGATATCAGGTTATAGGGATGAGGTTCTTTGGGAGACAACATTACAGATACTACTGACATGGCCCACCTCCTACAATATGCTGTATAGGCAACATAATGCATTTAAAGGGAGCCTTTAGCCTTTATGGTATGATTTTGAAAGCAGTTTGTTGCAATGTGCAGAAAGAAAGTGATAGCATAAGCTTCTGCTAACATAAAATGATGTACTTCACAAACACCTGCATAACAGCGATGTTACCTAGTTTGGGGTAATGAAACACCTTCAAGAAAACAGCCAAGTTCAGAGAGCACCAAGGACCCTTATTTCAACCCTGAGCTACAAATACTCTCCTTTATAAGAATATTTTTCATTTATAAAAAGGGGATTTTGCTTTTTGACCTAGAACTTTTTTATGCCCATCATCACAACCATTCTTGTTTATATGAAAGGAAAGAACAATTACAATTTTATTTATATATGTAGATAGCATTACAAAGTAAGTATGGTTTTCTTTAAAGCAAAAAAAAATCCTCAATTTCTAATTATAACTTCAGAAAGGGAGCCATTATTCTGAGGTACATCCAAGCCCACCTCCATAAATTGTGCCATCTGTGGTGAAAGACATGTTCCCCTCTCTGCTGCCACAACTCATTTCATGCACAGTCTAGCAGCTGAATCTTATTTAACGTTGGCATTGGAATAGTGTTCTGTCACAATTGGCTTATAGAACATAGGCTGTGTGTCTAATTTCATGAAGAGCTTCTATCCTTTTGTCTTTTGTGAAAAATGAACTATTAGCATATTTGTCTTCCTTAAATGAGGCAACATGCTATTTCATTTGCCTGAATCATAAATATGGGAATAAGCTAGCAAATGTTTTTGTTTACACTTGTAAACACAAGTGTCAAGCTAGCCCCTCAACCTTTACTGAGTTACCAAAAGAACCCGTAGTATCTACTGTTATGTTCAGCACATTTGTTTTATTCAGTGATCTGTTAACACTTTTTGTCTTTACTTTGTATTTACTAAAGCAGTTTCTTTAGCTATCTCGTTGAGTTTCTCATTAAAAGATAAGTCTTGTTTACAGTGTTTCCTTTTTTTTAAAAGGCTCATATCTTGTCCCCTTGCCGACAGTTGAACCAACTAGCTGTGCCACTATAGGAAGCCTTTGCCGAGGTAAGAAACCAACACTAGTCTGTTGAGTCAGAATTTATTGCTACCTTTTCTTTATAGGCTTTAAGATTTAAATGATCAGTATATATATATATATAATATGTATATGATAGCTGAGACAGAAGTGGATAAATCAAATATGCAAGAAAAAGAAAAATAATTTATGTTTTTTATTACATATTTTAAATTTTGTAGATAATCAACACCTCCAGTATAAAAGCCTGTTTTTTTTTTTCCTTCATTCAGTTTGTTGCTATAGTATATTTCAGAAGTGTATTCTTTATTTTGACACAAAAGGGTATGAGCAAACTAATGGATCGCAGCATTCTCCTTAAGGGTTATGCAGTTTCTTTTTCTCCAGCTACAGCGATCTAACAAAGTATTCCAGAAAAGAGGGGATACGTTCACTGCAGTATGACTTGTGGTAATTTATCTTAGTTCTTGATTCATGTTTTATTCTTTATAATATAGAAATTATACATAGACTTTTTGTGGGAGGATTTTATTTTTTGAGAAAAAAGAAGAAAACCCATATTGTTCCTCTATAGACCAAGCAGTTAGGAAAGCTTTTTTTATTATTTTGGGATTTTTTTTATTTCTTATATTATACAGCTCATAAAAATCAAACTTAGACATTAGAAATATATCAAAGTCTTATCTTGTTTCTTTTTCCCTACTTCTACTACTTTTTCTTTCTGCACTTTTAGTTTTTTTCTTTATTTCTCATTTTCTCTCTATCTTTTTATGAATTTTCTTAGTACTTTGGTTTATATTAGTTCTTAATATTGTTGTTAAACCTTTCAATAAAAATTATATATTAAAAGAAAGAGGGTGTCACAACTGTTAGTTGAACATCTGTGGGACAGATAGTTCTAGATTTGAATTACCCATGAGATTTTTACCCATTTATCTTTACCATTGATTCCACATCGCTGCGTATCTCCTTTAATATTTAGTAGTGAGAGGATAATAGATCATGAGGACTTCATTAATTTTCTGATTCATAATGACATGAGATTTGTCATTAGATAAGTCACATAGCTATAAAACCATGTTTATACAAATTGAATGCCTTAGTAGTACAGTAGGCATTCACAAAACAGTTATTAGATTTAATACCGATGTGTGTCTATGTGTGTGTGAGAGAGATTAAATAATGTACTAAATTATTTCAGTTAGAGGAATGGTTTGAGCTATATTATCTGTGAAATTACTAGTGAAGAATTTTAATCTGAATGTTTGGAATTTTGGAGCCTCTGGCATAGACATACCTACATTTCCGTTCACATTTTTGTTTTGTTTTTTACTTAATCACGAAGGCTTTACTACACTGCAAAGTGGGTGAAGAAAATGCTGACAGGGTGCTGCTATGTGCAGCTGGGTCGGGTATGGAATAGTCAGGTAACAATTGCAAGACTGAAGTTCAGTTTTTATTAATCGGTTAGCTATGTCCTGCTACACTTGTGTTTTGTTGAACAGTCCTGTCTCTGTGTGATGAGAGTCTGAAATCTCTTGAAGATTAAGGACTTTCTGTTGTCCTAATCTAGCACTGAAAAAAATCTATTGGTGAGACTTGGGAAGTAGAAAGCAATTGTGAGCATGAATTTGTGAAAGAAATGGGATGGATGAAGTATACCCAACAATGTTGTAATTCATAAAGCAATAGAATAACAGAGTTATAAGGTGAGCTTCTGTTCTCACTTCAGCTCCTACAAATCTAGCAATTCCAAAGCATGCAAATGCAAGTAGATAAATAGGTACCACTTCAGTGGGAAGGTAACAGTGTTCCATGCACCTCGGCATATAGTCATCCTGGCCACATGATCATGGAAACATCTTCAGACAGCACTGACTCCCTGAGCATGGAAACAGAGATAAGCACTGCTCCCTACAGTTGGACATGATTGGACAGGGGAAACCTTTTCCAGTAGGAAGGATAGAATATCCTGGGAGCAATTATCATGTTCAGAGCTAATTTAATATGTTTATAAGGTGGAATAATCTTCTTATATAAATAAAAATGTAAATGTTCGTTTGTTCAAAATCTTAAATCTCCAAAAGTTCATCATCGATTGTTTTGAAAATTTGACACAACATTGCATTCGAATACGCGTGTGTTTTTATATACCTATATTATATAGATGTCACACCTGTGACAAGTAAAAACATGCTTTTTTTGAAAAACTGTGCCATCTGTTGGACGTAAAAGGAACACACGCTTTTACCAGACTGAGCCACAGCAACGCGTGGCCGGGTACAGCTAGTATTTAATAAGAAAGAAAAGCAGAGTAGAAGATAATTTATTCTGTTATAAATCATTTGGCAAAACGTTTTCTATATGTGGAAAATTAATCAAACTTCATCATAACAATCTTTAGACAATGAACCTCCAATTTAGCAATTCATTTAGTTTAGCAATTGGACAGAATATTAACTGATCTCAAGTTCTTCTTTCAATTGTTCCATTGAAAGAAGGCTATTTCATTTTGAGCTTGAAAAATAATGGTTTATGTGTTGTATTTCACCAATAATTTATAAATAGGGCTGAGTAAATCCTTTTGAGTTTCTTGTTATGAGTTGTTTCAAATTCAGTTCAGTCTATAAATATTCTCTCTTATTCTGAAGTTCTTTTAATACTATGCGACATAGTTGAAGATACTGAAACATCAGTGATTCTGATCATTCTATAGAGAAAATCTCAAAAATGTTATCTTTGACTCATTAATAATAAAAAAAAATAGTCATCTCTCAAATGACTTTACAAGTATTTCAACACAAGTATTTAAAGTCAAAATTTTGTGCTGTTTCTTCTCCCTTTTCCCAGAAGAAAAACTATTATTATAGGCTTACAGGTAGACATTTGTCCAACCAAGCTGAAAATAATTAGAGATTAGCTGCCATCTTCATTCCATAAGCTATTAACTGAGTCACTCTGTAGTAGGTTTATTTAAATTAAAAATGTATCTCTGCCAGCAGGTGGAATAGGCTTTTTAAAAACAGATTTTACTCTAAATGCGTTTGAATGAGCACAGGTGAGAACATAGCTCAGTTGTCATTACCTCCTTTCAGGAGTTATTTTAATGTCTTCAAATATGTCTAAAGAAATCATCCCAGACAAATTTCTTGCAGTTTGGTTAATAGATGTCATTCTGGATAGACTACAGTCCTATCTACTATCGCGACCCTAGGTGAAAAGCAAGTATGCAACAACTGATTTGAAATTCCCATCATTTTCTCTAAAATTTGAAGTTTGGTTCTATTTAAATAAGGGCTGTTTCATTCTGAGCTTGCAGGAAAAAATGTTTCCATTTCATGCAGTTCTGTAGTTCAGACTATGAATAGGAATAGTTACTAAACAAATATTGCAGCAGTTATGTTTTAGACTGAGCTGATATTTAATGTATTTTTTCTCAAAAAATATCATCATACTAACTTATTTTTTTAATAGAATGTCTCCATCGGTTGATGTTCTTAAAAGATGAGCAGGAATCTGTTTTTGAATATTTTCAATCATGAGTGGTACTCTCTGATTGCCAATAAAAAAGACATCTGAAATTGAGGCAACTTGAAAAAATAATCTTGTTGTGGTCATTTATGCGGGTATTAATCAGAAGCTGACACAATTGGCTGATAGATGCAAGGCAAATTTTATGCTATTCATAAAGGCTCCTTTTTGTCATTAAGAGAATATTATTTTGAATTTTCATACTCACAGGTGGATTACGCTGTATTTCATTTCAAACAAATAGTCTTGTTCAACTGACAGGTTCGATATTAAACTTACAAGTCAGTGGCTCACTTGCAAACAATGTGTTCAGGATTGAAATATCTGCTTTATTAACTAATGAAAGATATTGTTTGCGTAGTATACTGTAGCAAAAGTCTGAGGAAAAATTCATGTTACTTTCATTTTTTTTAAAAAAAATTGCAACCATAGTAGGTTTTAGCAAAATTTCACATAAAATTACAATCCGTATTAATTCAGTTCATCTCCATTATAGCTAATAGCATTAATGGTCAGCATCTGCATTAGTATATTTATTGCAGCCATTGCAAAGAAGCAAAGTAACACATTTGTCTACATTGGTCAGCAGGAAATAGTATATAGTAATTTATGTAATTCATTGGTTCATGGTTTGATAAAAAAAAGTAAGAGAGGTTTTAAGCATGAATTCACCCATACACTATTGTTAAATTGTTTGTGGAGGCATTGTTTTGCCAAATGCTGTAGGTGAACAAATGAGACTTTTTAAAATATATATACCACACTGGAATTTGAAATGAGTATAACACAAAAAAATGTATATGTGTGATTTACGTTGTATGTGGATTCAGTCATTTAAAAGTCATTTCCTCTGTTTGTTTTTTCATGTTGCCTGACCTTATTAACATTCATATTCCATATAAGTTCAATTCTTTTTCATCTTTGTTACCAGCTACTGTAAGTGCAACCACTCCATCACCCACCATTACCACTAACATGCCTGATACTAACAGAACCGATAAAATAACGGATGGTAAGACATTTAATGTTATATTTTCTTTGATAGGTTACATCATTTTATCTTTTGAGCATACTTGCATTATATATGAATGTCAGATTTTGTTTCATCAAAACAAAAAGGCTTGTTTAAAGAGGCTTGTGTCAAATAACAATTTTGAATAAGCAAAATTTCCTGTGTGGAGGGAAGATTTTCTAGAAGATCTCATGTTTCTGTTTTGATTTTTTTTATTAATCTTCAAATACTAAAGGTTTTACAAAAGCAATCTTCATGTAGTTCTCTATAGGAGTGGTTATCCAGAGCACCCTTAGGGCTAATGAAAAACAGAAAATTATTCACAAACTTCAGTTAGGGTCATTAGTTGAAGTAACATCATTAAGAACAATCCAAATCGACTTGAAAGTGATTGCTACCTTTCTCCTAAAGATAAGCATGAAAAGTGACACTTCTCTTAGAATGTTGTAATATTCAAGAGTCTGTATACTTTAAGAAATATACAAAGAAGAGAGGACCAAGAGTGGACTCTTAGTTTGTCTACTCTTGCTTTAAAACATTGTCAGATTCTAGAGTTGAATATTTTCAATTTCAATTGGATGCCAATGAAATAAATTAAATAAAAATTAGATTCAGAATTATAAAGAAAGCAACAAACAGCTATATTGGTACAAGGGTGAGACGACCAAGAGAGCTACGTACAGCATAACTTGGGGTATATATGGAGTAAGAATAAAAATATTTCACAGATAGTAGATCATGTAAGGAGGAGCTCATTCAAAGAGAATTCTGTGTCTTCATGCACAAACAGTAATAGTGCATAAAATAAAAGTTTGATAAGAACAGGACTGAACATATTTCTGTCTCCTATAAACATTTTGAAAAATTTAAGTCAGTGGAAACAGTTTTGTATAATGAACAGTTTAAGAATAAATTGCCTAAACTTCTTGTTTAATCTTTGCATATCAGAACTCAGTCTATATAATGCAGTTCCTGCTGAAATAAGTGATTTCTTCATAATCAATCTCTGAGCTGTATTTAATGTCAAAGTAATTTCCTTAAGTAATTTACTTCATTTATTAATTGAATGACTTAATGTGTACAGTCCTGCAGGAAATGAAAAGTCCTGCTACAGTGGTCTTCAGAGTCAAGAGAAATTCAGCTGACTCTTCTCAACCTATTCAACATTGGCAAGAAGATTCTAAGATAAGAGGCATCAAAAACATAGGAATTATATCAACCCCAATAGTTTGGCCTGTAAAACAGAGGCCTTTACACACCAGTAAATTTACAACAACTGAGAGAAAAAGTGCACCTAGTTACTTCATCACAATAACTCCTGAGGTGATACCATCTGCTTCTAGAGAAATGCAAATTAATAGCTTGGGCCCTTTCACAGAACAAGTAATCATATATAATTCTTCCATCAAGGTGTCATACCTTAATAACGTTTCAGGACATTCTGAGAGCTTGTTAAGTGAGAGTAGTATTTCACAGGAAACACCAACTCTCCCACTTGATCACATTAGGAATTTAGGATTCCATATTCCACAGAGTGGAAGTGTTGAGATAGAAGATTCTAGATCAAACTTATTGTTTCCTTCATTGGTGGACAAGAACGCTTTTTTTGAACTTACAGAAGACCCTCAGTGGATGTTATCTCCTATCAGTTACACATTTTCTTCCATGTATAAACATGCTAACAATTTCTTGCAGTCTTTGAGTACATGGAAGGAAAATGCAACTTATGAGTATTTTATTTCCAGAATTCCAGAAGAAAACCTTTCTTCTCTTGTTCATAAATATTCTTATACATACCCTAAGGAGTTAGTTAAAGAAACAATGCTTGGCTTACTAAATAAATCACTTGAAAGTGTCTACTTGCAGCCTACGAAGCGATTTCTACAAGAGGATTCTCTTAGGAATGGCTTTTACATTGTGGATGATTTACAGACTACAAAATTAAATCATGTAAGGGACTATAATTCAGTACATTTTAAAAAACAAATGTTTAAACACAGTGCAAATCCTTCTGGTTCATTACAAAACATGAAGGCCTGGTTTCCAGATGTTATGGCCAGAATCCATCCCACAGAAGTCTTCATGTCAGTGGAATATAGTAGAGAATTACATTTATCATCAGGTTTACCAAAAGCAAGAGGCAGAAATTCTGAAATTCAGCAAACTGTTTCGCCTTTATATCAAGAAACATACAATAGATCTTTTTTAAAAAGTGATTTTTTTGCATTTAATTCTCTCACTGAGCAATTAGATAATTTAGAAGAACAGGAAGGTTCATCTCTAGAAGATGAGTTTGAGCTTCCGGATAAGTTCATTTCTTACAATAATGATGTATCTTCTTTTTCATTTCTATTGGAAGATGTCAAGTCAAAGTCAAAAGTGATTTCTGGGGAAGGATATGTAGAAAATAATATACCTAGCAGTCCACAAAATGACATTTCTTTTCTCACAATTAATGATTCAAGTCTTCCAACACAATACATAAATACTTCATTTTGGACTATGGTTAATGATCGTCTAGAATCTACTGGAAGATGGTTGTCCTCATTTAATCAACCATATTCTTCCCTAATAGAGACAGTGTCTTTTTTGATGTCGCCTACACAAATAGATGATGATATCACCATGCAAACAGTTCCTTATAATAGACTATTAGGCCATAATGTTTCAAAGTTATATATTTTTACTAACATAACAGAAGAGAATTTTAGTTCAGTTTTTGCAGTGTACTCATCAGGGATTTCAGATGTTATTGAAAGAATAGCAACAAAATCAGACTCTCTTCTGAACAAAAATGGATCAGTAAATGATATTTCAGCTGTGCATGTCCCTTTAACTTCCCAGGTAATACCTTTGATTCAGCCTTCCTTGCATTTACAGATAAGTACTTATGACATATTACAAGAAAGGTTTACTGATGATTTAAAAATTACTGCCAATTTAACCATGCAACAGACTATGGAGAAAATCCCAGATAATCAACTAATAACTTTTTTTCCATCTGCTGAAACATCAGCAACACCATTTTTTGAATCTTCCTGTATAAATGATACCTGCAAAGTTTTATCACTAACTCCAATACATTTTAAGGAACCGGCACATAATGTATATACAGACTTACAGATTAGTCAGCTTACAAGTGCTTCTGATTATATGAAAAGTGCAGTGCGTTCACATATAAATAATGCTTTTTTTGAAAAACAACATCCACAGATATCTGATCTGTTCATAAGGACATTGCCTTTAGAAATACTGCCTACTAATAGTCATGGAAAAATTGCACAATTTGGCAAACATTCAGCAACTTCAATGATTTCAGATGCTTCAACTTCACAGGATCCTCTAAATAACTTTGATCAATATTTCCTTGATTCAGAATATTTGTGGAATGAAAAGTTAGATCAGGAAACAAGCACCATGAATGAAACATACCTTTTTGAAAATGAACATAATGATCCAAACAATTTAGAAAGCAAAGACATTCTACTTCTTCAACCTGGTCGTGCAGAAGAGTTTGGTGATATGGCTCACAAAAGTATTGATACAAAAATAAAAGTTACTGTTTCAAAACAAGAATCGGTTGTTTGGAAAGTGCATCATGGTTCTAGCAAGTCTATTGATCCCATTAAGAAAGGATTGTCTTCTTTAAATTCAAATAATGTTAGCGTGACTGATTTTTATGACCAGATAATTCCTTCATCTTTTGAAGACTTGAAATATGAAAAAATAATAAACTATACTTCCCTTTTGGAACAAGCCACAATTTCAGTAGTTACTGAGGTTCAATCTTTTTTGTTGAATGAATCTACTAAGTATTTTGATGAAAACGTATCAAACATTGGAATGATATTCCACAATCACAAGTCAGAAGTTCAAAATGCAGTGGATATATTAATTCATGAAACTGATCTGACCAATATAGCACCAGAAGCAAATGAAAGTATTGTGTTCAAAACAACATTGACTCCTAATAGCAAATATCTTTTGACTAATTTTTTATGTAATTCCTTCATGGACCGGGACTGCCCATGTGGACCTGAGGTCAAACACAGTAGGTCAAACATGAAGCTAGATGTAGAATGAAAAAATGTCTATCTGCTAGATGTATAAATAGAGTTTAGAATTACTGGTGCTAAATTAGACAATGCTTAGCAATAGAAACATTAAAGCAATAGAAGTGTATTAGAAATGCATTTATACCATATTAAAATGATCAATGATCGAAGTGTAGAACTTTAGCATCTGATTCTAATCACTACCATTCCATTTACTAATTCAAGATCTTTGAGGAGACTATTGTGACAATCAAATTACACTGTTTCTCCTATTCAATCCATGGAGATTGTTTTGTAAAAATCTAATGAAGACAAATAATTACGGTTTGATCAGACAATATGAGAGAGAAATCGTATCAAATTATCTTCTTCATATGCAGATAATTTCTGCTCTCCCACTTTTCTCCACTGAGATGCTAGATCCTTGCTTCTGAACCAAAACATGGAATCTCTGTGTATCTCTTTCTCTATTATATGTCTTTCTGCCCATAAAGAAAAAAGACATTGAATCTACTGAACTGTTATTTTTTTAAAACTGATTTTTCAAAATAAACAAAATCCAACAAAATGAACAGGAGAAATCACTGCCTAATATGCCTAAAAATATTTAAATAAAAACAGTTTTGTTTTATTTTTATTTTACTTAGATTACTGTAATCTAAGTATTTTGAAACAGTGATCTTAAAAATAATGTGAGTATAAATCCAGTGGAAAGTATGCTTTGAATTTTTTTTAATACTGTCAATTTATAGTCTCCTGAGAGTACTAACCTCGAGAAAATACGTTTTCACTCATTATTCAGAAGTGGTAGATTTGAATTAGCTCTACTATTTAGAAATAGTAGAGTTTTCCCATTCAGTGTGACATAATGTAAACTGTATTTTCATAAAACACACGGATAATTCCTTTCCAGGAAGATGTAAAAAAGATTTTGTGTTCATAGAAAATTGGTTCATATTTATGGCATATATTTGTCCAAATGAGTTGAAATGTTAATGAGATCATGGATTATTCATGGTTCCTCAAATATATTAATTCATACCAGAAATAGGGATATATGAATGAAAATACAAAAAAAAAATCCCAAATTGGGACAATAACCACAAACGTGGAATGAAATATTGGGATTGTACAATCTATTTTTAAAGTTATTTATCTCTTTTTGATGACACATTGACTCTACTATCCCATAAACAGTTTGGTAATTATTAAAAAGTTCAGTATGACCAGTGAAATGCTGTACAATAAGAGAATCTGGATTCTGTTTAGGTAATTCCTTCCCTAAGTGATTCTGTTATAATTGAGCAGGTAATCTGTGGGAATTTTTTTCTCTACTCCACCTGATTATCATTTCAGGCTATAAACAGGCTCTGCTTTCTGCCCTTCTTACTCAGTGGGAACCATGAGATGTTTTAAATGTGCTCCATATAATAACTAGATTTGCTTCTTTGTGTATGCTATACTTGGTATGATGAATTAGAGGAAAGATAAAATGAAAAGATACCAGTCATTGAACTTTATTCATGTAAATGATCCCTTATTGCAGTATAAGCAGTTAACAATCAAAAGAAAAGTTATAGGTTCTTCTTCAAAAATAAAATATATTTCAGTGTAACTAGTGATAATAGCATTAACAAAATTCTATCACCATTGATACCCTTAATTAATTAAAAACTTAATAAAAAATATTAGAATCTCTCCCAATATCTAGTATCTTATTATATATTAATAAAAATGTACAAATGTAGAAAAATGTGTGTTTCTATGTGTTTAGATATAACATATTCAAACACAAACACATTCATGATAATAATGTTATTAAACATACACTCATTCAAATAAATAATTATGAACTGTAACAAATTATTACATATTTTCATGTTAACATAATGAATTATAAGATAAAGCTCAAGTACTCCTGAAAAAAAAGTAACAGCATTCTATTCATATAAATTCTGATTAAAAATATGAAAAAACTGAAGTGGTCTCCTTTACTCTTAGTGCAAATATTTCTATACAGCTCCAATATATATGTTAAGATAATGTCTATAATAATATCAAAATATTTTCAATTTGAGCCACTGAGCGCTTTAGTTGGCATAGTCCTATCAAAGAAATAGAGTATATGCTTGCAGGATAAGCCAACCTGCATTTTTAATTTTTTAAAAAATTCAAGGGTCTACTCTTCTGCAGATGGACTTATCTGCAAGTATATACGGGATATACAGATATTATAAAAATATTACCATATATATTTTTGCTGATAAGCCCATCCATCGATAAGCCAAACACAATATTGACACCTAAAATTCTTGACTTATATCTGAGTACATAATGTAGTACATGTCCACAGTCATAAAAACACATTTGGAAGTCCTCTGTTATTTGACTCACACCTTAAAGTTAAAGAGTTTTCTACTTTGGATATGCACTGGATTTGTCTAAAGCTTGAATTCTGCGGAGAACTCATTTTAATTTTTATTCTTCATTCCTCATTTTATTTCCTCCTTTTTCAGATTCTTATCTGACCAATTGTGTATCAATCAGCTAACAAATTATTTATTTAATAGGATAGTTGAGAGGTTATTCTTTTTTTGTCCTTCTACTTCAACCCCCAACAATGATCTCTACTAGGGTTCCTTACATATATTAATAAACCCTTAAGCTATATGTTTGGAAAAAAAATCTATAATCCTGATCTATTACTGTAAGATATAGCATATCAACACATTTAAGCACATTTGTAAAAAAAAAAAAGTTTTAAAGATGTTTAATAAACAAAACCCCAATATGCTGGTTTTTATAAAATTGAATACCTTCATAATACTGTAATTTTCCTGAAAACTTCATCTCATACTGAAAAAACAATAAAAGTTATAGCAATTTTTGCTTTTCCCATTTCATACTAAATTATGAAATATAATTGGATCAGTTCAATGGGGATTTGATTATTTTTAAAGCTCCTGATTAAAAATTAAAGCCAGTTTTAAAAGCATTATCAGTGTTGTGTCTTGTTGAGAATTTTATAGATTAATATAAAATAAGAGTCATAATTCTGACATTTACATTGTTTTTGTAATGCCTAGGTAAATTATACTACAGAATAGACTTTACTGTCTATAAAATCAAAGAAGATGCAGAGCCAAACGTTCAGAATGTAATTACAGAATGGGTAAGTTAGGCTACTTTTCAAACCATTGTATATACATTTTAAGTGTGCTTTTGAAGATGTTACTTAAATACTTTTTAAAATATTTAAAAGTATGATATTTAAAATTTTAAATATTAATTTTTAAAAAAGCATGATTCAGAACTGGTAATTTCTAGATTATTTGTTCAAATGTACATACTGTTCATCTGAAATACTGCTTTTTATTCTGATCTTTCAAAATCTATAGAGATTAAGCAGGCACCATCCTATAGGCTTTTCAGAAGGCCATCAAGACCCAGGCACTGCAGTAGAGTGAGGATATTTGGAGTTGATTGTGAGGCATCTCGAGGGGATGATTGAGGCACCGTGTTTGTTTCGGTTTTGTGATTTATAGTTCTGAGCATTATTATCGTTGTGAGCTTCTCAGAATTAAAACAATTAAAAGAATTACTCTTTTAAATTAATTTAGGCAGATAATAATTTTGCTTTTTAAGATCAACCTGAACAATAAAGTAAAATAAAGACTTATCAGTAAAACCAAGAAATATGCCATAGACTAGAATAACAGTGTAGGTGTTGGAGAAGGAAGGGGGAGAGGAAGAAAGAGAGGAAGGAGAGAAAAGAAAGAAAGAAAGAAAGAAAGAAAGAAGAAAGGAAGGAAAGAAAAAGAAAAAGAAAGAAAGAAAGAAAAAAAAGAAAGAAAATATATGACATATCTATACTTAGAAGGTTCATAATTATGCAGGCAATAGTTTTCTCTGTGACATTGCATGGAATTGAAAGTTGGACTTTGAAGAAGCAGGATAGAAGAGTATCAACCTTTGTGAAATCAGGTGTTGGAGAAGAGTCCCAAGAATATTCTGGCTAGCTAGGTAAACAAACAAGTGGATCATGAAAAAAACCAATCCAAAGTTTACCCTTAAGGTACAAAAGACACAAACTGATACACTTAAGAACCATATATGACCAAAGAAGAAAACTTGTCTATGTGGTTGACAACAACTAGAGGGCATTCAATAAGAAAAGGTGCATAGATGCAATTTTAGTAGATACTGTCTAATGATTAAAACTTCCATTAATTTGGGGGCAAAATTAATTATATCATAATGAATATTATATCATTTATCAGATTTAACCATTTTATTTTAACATATTTTTGAGGGGGACCATTTTAATAATTATTCCCTTTTTTGGAGCCCATCTGGAGAGCAAGATTTTGTGCTTCACAAATTTTAGGATCACGGCATACTAAACAAATATATTTTTGTCCACCCTTGAAAGCTGCCAGATATATTTGGTTATTAATAGATAAGCGATAACCTTTCAAATTCCATCTGAAATTAGTACAGTAGAATAATCCAAATTTGAAAATACCAGGGAAGATGTTTTACTAGATTCATGAACTATATAAGAGATCACTTGATATCTGTTGAAAATAATTTAAGTATAATACTCTATTGAGAATGTACAGAATTGAAAATTTATGAATTAAGTAGAATATTGACCTGATGCTCTAGCAACTTCTGAGTAACTTGCAATTTTAACTAAAAGATGCAGTACCTGAACCAAACCCAAAATTTCCAATTTATAGGGAATTTAAATGGAAAATGAAAGTTAGCATTAGTTAAATGTCTGAACTGTGGAATGAAGGATTGGAATATCCAATTTTGCAGTCAGTAGATCCAGATGTGAAGAAACCTGAATTTTAAAATGAAATTAATTTACCAGAAAATATTTCATGTTTTTATTAGACCTTATATGTCAGTTCAGTTTTGGGAAGAAATTGGTACTTTAACCATTACACCAAACTGGGCTCTGTCTTTTGTCACTTCGAGTGTATTTTTTCACCACCGTCTATGTAGGTTTATTCTCACTGTATAATCACAAGGTTTTTGATGGTAATGGTGGTGATATAGGTTTTTTTAATTCACTGTTAAAAATGTTTTTAAAGGTTTACCAGTTGCTAAGGTCAAATGGAATCTGGATTAATAATGTTTGAATTTATTTATTAAATTTATTTGCCACCCATCTTGCCACGGGGTTATAAAATTTATAGGCTATAAGGTTATAAATTTGCCAACAGTGCCATTGAGATATTGTTTGAGTAAGACCCCCCCAGCTAAGACTTCTGCATGGAGATTTTCTTCTCGTATTTAGATTTCTGTCACTACTTTTAAGGATTAATAACAAAGATTTGACTGTTATCTAATCCAGGTTCATGTCTCAGATAGTGAGTAATAGTCTTCTATTAGTACTTTATATTGATAGTGAAGGTATAGGTTAGGACAGTGATGGGGAACCTTTTAGAGACTGAGTGCCCAAACTACAACCCAAAACCCACTTATGCATCCTCGAGTGCCGGGTGGCTGGGTGTGGTCCATTGGCTGGGCATGGCCAATTGGGTGGGCATGGCTGCAGTGGTAACGGCAGACTGGGTGGGACTAAAAAGTTCAATCAATCAATTCCAACTTTGCAAGATCTTTTTTTTTCCCACGAGAAGTTGAAATTGACTGATTTGAACCTTTTTTTTTTTTTTGCACATGGCGGCGGAGGCCTAAAGCGAAAAGGTTTTATAAAACCCAGCTGAAGGCCTAGGACTGGGGCAACAGTGCACGTGCCCACAGAGAGGGCTCTGAGTGCCGCCTCTGGCACCCGTGCCATAGGTTCGCCACCACTGGGTTAGGAAGAGAACTTTCTCACTAAGACATACTGCCATGCCCTTTAGAATTCTTGATTTTCTGCACTTAACCTTGCTTTCCCTAGCATGTTGTTCTGTGCCTTACCTTTTAAAGACTATTTTTTTTTTACAATTAACTCACAAGAACAAAAGGAAATGTATGAACTGCTTATGGATATAGTAAAAGTAAGGGCAGAAATACTGTATATATAGTATTTCTTTGGCTTACTATTTTTTACACTTTCTGTACTTTCCACCACAACATGAAAGGGAACAGCATGAACGATATGCTGGTGATGGTGATGATCATAATGATGATCATATGAAAATAAACTCAGATTCTATGAAGATAAATTCATACAAAATGAATTTAATGCAAAAATTAAAAGTTCCAACAATTTTATGCATTTTAACTTTTGCACTGTTTTCCTGTTTTCTAGTTAATTCAGACCATGGGGAATTGGAATTACAATGTATGTGTGGTGGATGTAAGGTAGGTGCTTGCTTGACAGGATAGAAAGGAAATTTGCAGAAGGCACTTTTCTGAAAAATATGTCTTTTGTTTTTGTAGTGTTGAACCAAGTTCAACAAAAACCGCATCAAGAGGAAAGAGAAGTGCTGAACAAAGGTAAAATTGTGAGAAATTCTTGTTACAAAAGCACTGAAATAATTCTAGCAGTTTTGTTCTATTTATCAAATGCTAATTGGATTTATATTTGTCAAATAACTTTGCCTGGTAATTATATGAGACATATTTCCCAAGACATATTTCAAGCTACTCTTTAGTTATCAGTTTAATTAAAGGCAAATGAATTAGAAAGAGCCAATGTCATAATTCCTTTTCGGAAGAGTCATGTTCTGGGAAAGATAAAAAGAAAGTTTAGGAAGCATCCAGGAGTTCCATTTATGAAAAATGTCAGTTGATGCATTTTATAAGGAACCTACTATATACTTCTTGAAGTCTGTTGTACACATACAGGTAGTCCTTGATTTGAGACCACAATTGTGCTTAAAATTTCCATTGCTAAGCAAGACAGTTATTAAGAGAGTTTTGCCTCATTTTATGAGCTTTCTTGCCACAGTTGTTACGTGAATGACTGTAATTGTTAAGTTTGTATGGTTGTTAAATGAATCTGACTTCCTCATTGACTTTGTTTGTCAGAGGATCTCAAAAGATGATCACATGATCCTGGGACACTGTGACCATTATAAATACATGCCAGTTGCCAAGCATCTGAATTTTGGTTTCACGGCCATGGGAATGCTGCAATGATCATAAGTGTGAAAAACATGTCACTTTTTGTAATTCTAGTCACTAAACAAATGGCCATGAGGACTACCTGTATATATCAGCATCATACAGCATCACAGGCAAAATGTTAATAAATAACTACAATAATATGAATGTTCCACTAAACTTCATTTTTCGCTGCAAAGTCCAATGGCTATCCCCACTGGAAACAGTTTTAATATTGCAAGATCAAAATATATTTGCCTTCATTCATGAGTTTTAGCATTGTTTGTTTTCTCAAAGACTGACAACTGAACTAGAGTTAGGGAAGAGTTGTCATAGAATATTAAACTCTGGAATGGCTTGACAAGTGGTTTGTTCATCTTACATCACTTAGTAATTTCTATTAAAGTTATCAAAAGCTCTTAATGTTCAGATTGCATTGATCATACATTGATGAAAGATGTATGTTTGCCAGTTCCTGAACCACATGGTGCTTTTGCACCTGGAGCAGCATAATAAAAAGATCTCTGGACAACAGCGAAGTGACAACACATTGCTAATATATTATTAACTTTTGAATAAATTCAATGTTTTCTCAGTTGTTACTGTAACGAAATGTCTAATTTTTCAGTAGTCCTGTTTCCCAATTAAATGTCATCTATTGGAAAGCAAAGAGAATAATTTTTAAAATCATCATCATTTGCACTGGATTCTCTATTTTTAATCTCTATATTTGCCCTCTATATAACTGATGCCATGTCATTTTTGACATCACAGTAAAGCCACACATTTCTGTTCCTCCTGCTGCTGCTGTTTTTCCCCGAAAGATCGTTCATATCCTAGGTGTAACTATATGACCAAGTCTAGGTCAGATGGGTAAGATGTGTATTACAAAGGGGCTCCCTTTTTTGTGTTTGTGAATTCCCCATTTTATTTTGCAAATTGCGTTGTTGCCTTTGATGTTATTTACCAGCTCAATAAATACGCACTTGCTGCACATTCTTACTACAAGGAATGACCATTCCTGTAACAAATAACAGCAAATCTAATCAAACAAAACTTTCTGTTACATTTAACAGTGTATACTACAGAACTATTTCCTAAAACTGCATTTTTAAAAAATATGATAACAGGAAGAACTAGTATTTTTGTGTAATAAAATCAGCAATTTTGTTTTATGGTGCAAAATTAAATATCACTTTTATATGCTTTGGTACTGACTGATTTATCTGATCACTAAAACACGTTATAACAAGCAATAAACTAGGCTTGTTGGCTTCCTTTGAGCCTGCTTAATATTAGTTGTTACATTGAACCTAGTTAAGATTAAGTACGAGGAAGTAAAAGAAGTGGAAATTTCAAGTCTTCTTTGCGATTCCCATGTATTCCCCTGGGATTACTTCTTTTAGAAAGACTTTTCATTATTAGCTGTGATACCATAGGAAAAAAATCTCATAAGAATAAAACAGGATGTTCCAATATGGCATATGTAAATTGATGAATTGGTGAGTCCATTAATAGGATTGGTTGATTAATTAATTATTTAACACTTAATATAATTTAATGTCACTAGTATGAATTTACGGAATAATAATATGATATAAGACTAAGTCTTTAAGAAAACGTCAAAACTGCAGGCACGAGAAAATCGAATGTTAAGATGGCTGTTACATTTAAATCTTCTTGTTTGTTAATCCTTCTTTGAACTTTTGTCGTTATAGTGTCTGTTGAACTTTGAGGTATTTGTGAAAGTTCATTCAATTGGTAAGGACAGAGTTTTTGTTTTTGCTGCATTCTCATTATATTACTATTAGATTAAATATCAATATTGCAAATATTAATATTGTGATCATCATTATTAGTGTACAAGAACAATACGTTTTAACCAGTAACTGTATTTTAAACCTACTGTTTCAGTTTATAGTTTTATGTACTATACTATGCTTTAAGGAATTAACTATTCTACATTGACCAGATAAGCAGAAGACATTAAAATAGTGAAGTCAGTTGCAACAGATGAGAAATCAAAATTAATTTAATAGTTTAATAGTTCTGTTCATGGTTTGAAAATAATCTACAGCAGACATGTCAAACACAAGGCCCGGGGGCCGGATGTGGCCCGCGAAGTGGTTTCATGTGGCCTGCGAAGCCATCCTGGAAACAGTGAGGAAACAGCCCCCGCTGCCTTGGCCCTGGCCCAGGCCGGCCAGGAACCAATGTACAATTTTGTGGTGGCCATCTATGCTGAAACGCATTCAATCTTAGCTCCATAAGCCTCCCCCCTGCATGGCCTGAGAGGAACAGTGAGGCTCCTCCAGTGGATCATGCCTTGACACTTGCCCTGGTCCCACCCCTTTCTGCCAGAGATCCTCAGATCTATCCCACTCCTGCCCAGGCCCCCACAGGCACCCTTGACGTGAACGATGTAGAGCTGGCCACATCCACCCAGCAGGCCACACTCACTCCATCCATGCCCACCCAGTAGGCCGCACCCACCCTGGCCACATCCACCCGGCCCCCTGAGGGCAACCGCAATACTGATGCGGCCCTCAGTGAAATTGAGTTTGACACCCCTGATCTACAGTATAACAACTGCAAGCACAGCACCTCTCTGCTGTTCATTCATTCATTATTGTCATTTTTCAGGTTCCTTTGTGAGGAACCTGAAAAAATGCCATTATATTAAGAATTATATGGAAAACATACACCTTTAATGCTTCAATGAATATCAGAAGATTGATTGTACTGGTCTGAAATCCAAAACACTTTTTCCAAATTATTTTCAAAGCATGCAGTTCACGGATGTTCTTCAAGTTCACCTTTAACTTGGCCCTGGTAAAAATGGTACAGCAGAAACAAAATAATGGGGAAACTGAGGCTTCTTGAAGCCATTTGCACTTGTTTCCTCACAGATTAACAGAATGAGTAAAAACTATGATTGAGAAAAGTTCTGTATACTTTTGTGTTGAACCTTTATTCTCGGTACCTTGTGCCCTATGACCCATGCCACAAGAAGCAAGGACATTATGCAAAGGATTTGGTGGCTGATCTGGGAAGGAATTAACATCTGGGACAATGGCCCTAGAATAGTACTGCGAAATAGTAATGGAATTCGGGCAAAGCCAGATCAGAGTTAGTTTGACTAGAAATGGGCCATAACCTGAGCAATACCCTAACTTAGAGACAATAGGGCTGAGCAGCATAGTGAGCTTTGAATACCACATTGCAAGCCATCAATTCAGATCCAAGGACATTTGGAATCATTTGGTGTTCAGTCCTGATCCACACATTCCTGATTTGTTACGATTATCATATTATAAATTAGTTTAAAATGTATAGATTTAAAAAAAAAAAACCACAGATACTAATTTCTCTCTGATTCTAGATGATTTTTGTCTCTAATTGGAAAATACATTTGTATTCAGTGATGTACATTTTGTTTCATAAATGCTCATCCCATTAGGTATTTGTAAGTAAAAATAACTTGGTATAAAATTAAACCTGACTCATTCAGACCAGTCTAACAACTTTTACTAGGAAGCTACAGTGTTAAATATTTAAATAAATATAAATATTTAATATTTATTTGCTACGTATATGTAGGGATGTGGGTCTATACATATGTTGTTCATAGTATGTTTAGGTGTGTGTCATGTATGTGTTTCACTTTGAGAATGGGCAACTAAATTTCATTTTTGATGTGTGCCTTTGTGCCCACAGTATAAAAAATGACAATAAAGGTTATCTTATCTCTAATGGTTGTTTTTTGTTCATTTGGTTGGTTGGTTGGTTCACTGCTTTTCATTTGCTCTTGTAGAAAAATGTGAGGCTCAGGAACAGCCTCTAAATTACTTTTGGAAAGAAACCAGACCAGAAGAGACTGCCACCACTATCTGCTATGACAGCTCTACCCAGATTGCATCACGAACATGGTAACAGCTCAGAGATCATGAGATGCTTAGTGGTGATACTGAGATGAAGTATACTACGGATATAATTAAAAAGTGACAGATATAGGTTTTTAAAAGTAAAGAAGTAAAAGATACAAAGGATTTAAAATAACACAGAAGGACTATGTGATTTCATAAGAACATCCATATATTGATTGCTAATGTTTTCTGTTCTATCTTAGCTTTCTAAACCTGAAAAATTATACATCTCATTGGGGTATTCCTGATCTTAGAAACTGCACAGGTAAGGGTTTGTGTATCTGCCCCATCTATTTGTGTATTGTGTATTTGTGTATCTGCTCCATTCATTTGAAATATTTCTTTTCCAAGCTTCAAACACCTCTGGGTCTCACCAAGAAAAGTTTTTAGATATTAGTCACTAATATAAAATTCTTTAATGCTTTACTGAAGAATTATGCTGTTTTGTTAGACTCTAAAGCACAATCCATGTTTATTTTAGATATATACAGCAAACAACATGTGTTTATATAGCATAAATATTTAAATTCTACTCAGAATATTCTATCAGGTTGAGGTTTTTTTTATTCCTACTGAACAAAAATCAGAATATTTTTAGCATTTGGCCATGGGAACTTGGCAAAAATCCTCTCACTCCATTGTTTATTACCGTAGCACCACATGAGTAATTTAGGTGGCAGTCCCACTGACTAGGACTAGACTCCCATCATGCATGCCGTGGCACGATACTGGTCCACGGACCGGGGGTTGGGGACCCCTGATTTAGCATATTAACGCTAATAAACTAATCTCTCTCCTTAGATATTTCAGCTACCATGTACATTATGCAGCAGTCCCATAAGCAGTGGATGATAGAACTTTATAACACAATACAAAACCAACACCAACACCAAATCATACTAGCTTTATAGCTGATAGGTAGAACAAACGAATTCCAAAATCCAAAGAATGAAAGAAACAATCAAACACAGGCAAACAACACCGAGCAAACTGTCCAAAGCCATCTCCAATCTCCATTTTTAATGGCACTCTGGAAGCTCTACTACAGCAGTACACACTAAGTAACGCCGCTGCTGTAACGCCGCTGCTGCGCGAGCTGCACTGGCTGCCGGTGGCTTTCCGGGTGCGCTTCAAGGTGCTGATTATCTTCTTCAAAGCGCTCCATGTCATCGGACCTGGTTATCTCCGAGACCGCCTTCTGCCTCAGATTACCCCCCACCGGCCGATACGCTCCCACAGAGAGGGCCTCCTCAGGGTGCCGTCAGCCAGACAGTGCCGGCTGGCGACCCCCAGGAGGAGGGCCTTCTCGGTTGGAGCTCCCACCCTATGGAACGAACTACCCCCAGAGATCCGGGTGATTCCGGAT